TGAAAAATCCCAATGTAATACTCATACATAAATATTATGTGTGTATTATTAAAAAGGTGCATAATTGGAAAATATGCACAGTAATGATTGTCAAAAATAGAGGTTGTACTGTCAGTAACATCTGAAATTTACTTACTCTTCAGTGAAAATCATGTGTGCATTTGACATCTCAGGAAAGGACTGTTTTCATATTTTTGAATGTCACTTATTTTTATGCTGGTATACATGTGCTAGAGAAAGTGTAAAACAGCTGTGGAAAGCATACAAAAATCAATAGTTGTACACATTCACTTGAAGAGAATGTGCACAATGACTATGGAGAATGTTCATAACTACTGGCATTTTGCACACTTTCCATGGTTATTCTACATGTTCTACAGTGATGCACATTGCTTTGAACATGTGCAAGGCTAACATTCCATAACGATTGCAAAAGAAATGCCTCTCCTGAGGCTGGGAGCACACTCATGGTTTACACTGGGGTGTAATTATAAAGTGAAAATATAGTTCACAGCAGTAAGAGCAATATTGATTTCCATGGATCAGTACTGTGCTGGAAATTTATTTAGGAGCTCAGAGCTCTGACCTTTAGGTCCCTGGGTATCTTTCTGTCTAGGGACTATACCCTCCTCCTGATCTTAGTATTTGTTGCTGTTGAATTTGCATACATGAAAAGTGGAAGTGAAAAGAATGCTGGCAGATTCATGATTCTAGCCAGTGTCAAGGGGGTGCCAAAATGTACTTCCAGCATGGCATTATTTATTGGAAGATCAGCTTCAGTTATGTCAACTGAATGAAGAAGGTATATACACTGTTTTCACCTTTTCACAGTTATAGATATGCAATTGATAGTGTTTGGTATCTCAATAAATTGTTTAATACTTGCAGCTCAGCATTGTGTGTGTGTGTGTGTGTATGCATGTATCTCCATGTATGTGTTAAAGGATGTACTATAAAATATACAACATAATAAGAGTAGCAGTTCAGTAGCAATAGTAATCTTTTGTGGTGCTATGGGTAAATACAGTGAAATCAAACAATCTAATAGACAGATTACTACATCTGGGCATATGGAGCTCTTACATTCAACTTTGTGTTTGTATGTGTGTTAGATCTGGCGACCTTAATTAGGACAACCTTAAAAGGTATGCCACTTATCCTATGGAGAAGAACATCTTTACAGTTCTTTTAATAATCCCTTTATCCTCAGATTTCTTTGACCCTGATTTCAAAAGCAATAGGTCATGCTGGCCTATCAGCTGCAGCCTTCTAATTGAAATCCTGATACAGTTGGTATATAGTGTAGTATCTGGTACAGAGGAATTGCTCGTACCTAATATACAGTCTGAGGGTTTCTTGTTTTGTAATTGATTACACCCAGAAAATTAAATTACTATTTGGTGATAGACATGTTTTCGTAGAAAAAGGGAAATAATATTATGAGAAGTGTAATAACATTTTGATATAAAATATCCGTTACATAAATGAAACAGACAGGCAATAATATGCCTGTCCTTTAGGGGGAAAAATCAGAGGATTAAAATTAAAGCTTTCTTATGCAAAGCTTTCTTTTTTCTCTTGAAAAGCTCGTTTTCAATATTTTTTTCATTTGTGAAAATCATTCATTTTCAAGATTTTTTAACAGCTACTATTTTAAGATTTCCCTAATGTAACCTCAGAAAATGAAGAGTACATCTTTAAATCTTGTTTTGTTTGAATGAATGAGTAGATAATCCTGATCAGATGTTTCTTTCAAGAATAATGTTTAAAACGATTATAGAACTTAGCTGTCCCATCTGATTCCTAGGTACAGTATTTTAATTTCAATTGTTAAGTCGTTAGGGTCATCCGAGGTAACTCTATTAAACTGGCTTCTTTTGTTTCTGATTTCTAGCTGAAATACCTTAATATATACAAAACTCCCAGTTACTGCTAACTTCCTTAAACTCTTAACCATATATCTCCTTACCTAAACAAACATTAATGATAAGTAAAATCAATATATCTAATTTTAAATGCAGAAAAATCTGAAATCTTATATATAAGATATATATATATATATAGTTAATCCCCTCTTAAAAATAGAAGCAGCACATATACCACCATGCCCCAAAGGCCCTCGTGAACGTGGCACCCCAACCCTGTTTGGGCAGCAAGCATACTTTAGCTCGCCTGCGGAGCCAAATGAACCCACATCAGCTTCAGATGGCCCTACGGGATCCTATGCGCCCTGGTGGCTCATTAGATGAGTTAGTCAAGGACTGGCATGGCTGACTCTCGACTGCCATCGATGAGATCACCCCCCCAATGCCCTCTGTGCCCTCGCTCTAAGCAGGCTCCATAGTTTACTGAGGAGCTGCGGCTGATGAAACGAGGGCTCAGATGCCTAGAGAGACGGCGGTGGTGCGCTCGCGATGAAGCAACAAGAGCATCCTATAGGATGTTTATGAGATCCTATGAGATGGCAGTCAAAGCCACAAAGAGGGAGTTTTACGCGGCCACGATTGCGTCTGCTAGCTCACACCCAGCACAATTGTTTAGAACTCTTCAGTCATTAACAGAGCTGCCTCAGGGCAGACCAAATGCTAGGGAATTGGATATCGGCTGTGAGGCTTTTGTGAGCTACTTTGCAGATAAAGTCTTGCTGCTCCACCACGATCTCCCCACCACAGTTGAGACAGTGAGTGAACTCTAGGCCCCATGCACGTCTTCTGGTTCTATTCTGGATTATTTCAATCTGCTCAGCCTTGAGGAAGTTGACAAATTGCTTGCAACGGTATGCCCAACCAAATGCAGCCTTGACCCGTGCCCTTCATGGCTTATAAAAGCTGGCCGTGAGTTGTTGCAAGGTGCCCTCAGGGATATTATCAACAAATCTTTGCAGAGGGACTGTTCCCGGGGGCACTCAAGGAAGCGATGGTCCACTCTCTCCTGAAAAAAACCATCTTTGCACTGGCTGCCAATAGCATACTGGATTCATTTCAAGGTGCTGGTGTTGACCTTTATAGCCCTATATGGTCAGGGACCTGCCTTCCTGAGGAACCGCCTTTCCCCGTATGTGCCCCAGAGAGCACTGAGGTCGGGGACCCAACATCGCCTGACTGTCCCTGGCCCGAAAGACGCCAGATTGGCCACTACGAAGGCTAGGGCGTTTTCAGTGGCAGTTCCACACTGGTGGAAAGAGCTTCCAGAGGATATCAAGGCCCTGTGGGACCTTCTACAGTTCCGCAGGGCTTGTAAAATGGAGCTCTTCCACCAGGCCTTCAATTAGGAGCCGCCACTGACGAATGAACCATCATAGATTGAGCAAAAGAACCATCATAAATTGAACAGGCCACAGCCCTATATTACTACGTTGGACATGGCTTTATCGGACTATGTAGATATCTGTAGATCACTGCCATCGGTATATATTAGCACCTTATGTAATTGTCTTTTAATTGTGAGTCGTTACTGTATTTATTGGTTCTGTTGCATTTTAACTGTGTAAGCTGCCATGAGCCAGTGCTGCACCGGCAAGGCGGGATATAAATTGAAATAAATAAATAAATAATAGCTTTAAGAAACAGGCATCCTTTCAGTTGCCATTGTGTGGGTTGTTATGTAACCACAGCAGTATTGTGATTTACCCAGGCCCAACTACTTGTACTGTTCAACAGCAGCCACTGCATGAAATCCGATATGGTTTGATTCCCCATTCTGCCATGGAAGCTCATAGGATGACCTTGGGCCAGTTAATCGTTCTCCTTTTCCAGTTCTGTATAGCCCTACCACTCAAGAGGATGGTTGAGCTCCATCCAAGCTTAATAGATTAATATTTCAAAATAAAGGGAGAAGAAAGTTATCAAATTGAAAAGTGGAGCAGCACTCTTGGCAGCAGGTCAAAGAAAAGGGGACCAGGAAGCTGCAGTGATGGAAGGTGAGCTGATTGGCATCACTGGGAATGCTGCTCCTGCGGCAGAAACAAAGAAAGTCATCACAAGGAAGGGAAAGATCAAGCTGTGGGAAAAACAGCTCCCCCCACCCAAGGTTTTGGGTGATGGAACCATGATGATCCCCCACCACCAGAATGGGGCTCCCAGCCATCAGAGGAAAGAACCACTGGAGTTTACACCCCCATGCCCAAGGCTTTGGGAAGTGGGGAGGGAATGGCGGGAAGCAAGTCTGAAGAGCTCCCAAAGACTTCAAAGGAGGGCACAAGGCTTGAAGAGCTCAAGGAACTGGGCCTACATTCCCCTGCCCAGCGCAACAAAGGGAAGGTAACCAAGAATACCGGAGCTGGCAAAGGGAAGTCAGCAGTACACCATGGGAAAGACCTTTGGTCAATGTGCCCACCTGTTGAGACAGGCTCCAGGAGGTGCATTCACCCCAACACCAGGGATGGCCGACAGGTCTCAGGGGCATTCGAATAGCTACCCCTTCACCTGCTCAGCTTTTCAAGTTGTTAACTTCTCTCCCTTTTTTGAAATATTGATCTATTAAGCTTGGACAGAGCTCAAGCATCCTACTGAGTGGTAGGGCTATACAGAACTGGAGGGTTAGCCTGAGATCTCTCCAATAGGAGCCACACAAAAATTTGCATATCCCTATCTGAATGAGCAGATGCGTGACCTAACCGGTTCTGGATGACTTTGCCCCCACTGAGGAGAAGGTAAGAACCAATGTTTCACTCTTCAGGTAAGAACCAATGTTTCATTCTTTGCCTAATTTACCTTATGTGGTTGTTGTGAGAATAAAATGGAGGAGAAGAGCATGATGTAAGATACTTTGAGCCCCCGTTGTAGAAAGGCAGGGTATAAATGAAGTAAATAAATAATAAATGGAGGTGAAGATGGGGCAGGTAAAAGGTGGGTTGGTGGGGGAGAAAAGGAAGCTGGAAAAGGGAAAAGGCTGTGAAGTATTTCAGGGAAGGTAAACAAGAAACAGTTATCAATCTATTTTAGAATACTGCCATTCAGTATTAAGAGTAATGATTTCTCTCATTTTCTTCTGTTTTGCAGGACATTTGGGCTTCCAAGACAGTTTTGTCACATCAGGTGTTTTCAGTGTGACTGAGCTAGTAAGGGTCTCACAAAGTAAGTAATGTTCTTTATTATTTAAGAATATTTTATTTGATAATAAAATGTAATAAAAAAGAATATTTTATTTGATGGATTTTTCTTTGTTTTCTCTACACACATTGAACCTTTATACCACATTTGGAAACCTACATTTTAAATCAATTTCCACTTATCATAAATAGCTGAATATTTTTGGAATGTTAATTAATTTCCACTTATCATAAATAGCTGAATATTGTTGCAATGTTAATTAAATAAATAAAATAAATTATATATTATACTTAAAGTAATAAAATCAGAGACTCTCATATTTGATTTAGGCCCTGTATTCAAATTCATCTTTCAAGTTTGGTTTAATAAAAATGGGCTTCTTACTAATTTCATTGCATCTACAAAAGAAGTAAAACAAGGCTCTGTTTTGGCTCCCTTGTTATTTACTTTTTATATCCATTATATGATTAGTACCTTAAGTAGGGTTGATAGTCATCCTCCTACCCTAGCTAATTGGAAGACTTCTGCCTTACTTTATGTCGACGATATGGTTTTGCTATCTAGAACTCTTGTTGGCCTCCGAAGGGCATTGCATTTAGCCATTATTGCAATATGAACCACCTAGCAATTAATTACCAAAATACTAAAATTATGTATTTTGGAAAGAAACCTAAAGCTAGGGCTTGGAGCATTAATGGTCACAGAACTGAGCAGGTAATGAGTTTTAAATACTTGAGTGTGATGATCCAATCTTCTGGGGCGAAAAAGGCCCATCACAAGTATATGGCCAGTATAGGTAAAAAATCAGTACGGGCTGTTTTAAGATTCTTCTATACCATTGGCAGGCAATATATTCCAGCAGCCCTTAAATTGTATCACTCTAAAATTTTTTCGCTCTTCCAACTTATCTATGGGACATCTTCAAGTTTTGCCCCATTAAAAGGAATACTATTGAAATTTTTAAGAGTAGTATTTTGATTCCCCAGCTGGGTATCAAATGTAAGCCTGTGTCTAGATTCTGGCATGACTAGAATAGAGGTAAGCCTCACATCTATTAATCTATGGTTTAAGCTAAACCATTAATGGACATTGAACAGCAAGGAAACATTAACAGAATTTCAAATTTTCTGGCCCCAAAGAACACTAGATATGTTGTAAGTTCAGCAGTATATCTATTGCTGTTAGAGATCCTGTCCCACTGTAGGGCTTTCTCTATGGCAAGATGGAATAGTCTCCCCTATGCGGTTGTGGAGGGCCATTATAGAAATATCCCAATAGCAGAAAGGGTTTGCCCATGTGGAGGTGGGAAGGTTGAGACAAATGGGCATATTTTGCTTCACTGCCATTTCTACCAGGAAACTCACGCTAAGATTATTGCACTGTTGCTCAGAAGGTATTCCATCTGCTCCAAATCTGAAATTATGAGGATGTTTCTTTCAGATGCAAATCCTCAACTTACACTCTCTTGTACCAGATTTTTGCAACAGTTTGTAGAATTCACAGGGAATGAACACAGAATGCAGTTGAACCATAAAATTTAGACATTTAGACCTTTCTCATTGTTTTCTTTATGTAAAATGTTCATAAATTGGGAGGTGCTCTGGAATAAGATATAAATAGCCAGCCTTGGTCCACTTGCTAAACCTAAAATGCTGCTTTAGCTCTGATAGTCCAAGGTACCCCTCAGGCCATTACATAATTTCCATGGGTCCAGTGTAGACATTTAACATGAGCCCTCTCTCCTGCATGATCAAAACCCATAATACAATCTCATGATTCATGGAAGAATACCTTTGTTGGTCTTAAAGGTGCCACTAGACTCTAAATATGTTCTACTTTATATTTTATTTTTGAAATTACGTAAATGGACCAACTTTATAATAAGGGGTTGTATACTTGACCATGCCCCCTAAAAGTGCACCCACTTCTCCCCCCCTCCTTCCATTTATGTTTTGACCCTGGCTACCATTAGCCAACTCCAGCTAAAGTAAATCTATTAGATCAAGCTTCCAAATGATTTCATGTCTGGTAAATGTTTTCAGATGAAGTTTGTGTGTTTTCAGAATTAGACCACTGATTTTCATCAGACTTTTAAAAACATGTGAACACATGACTGCCTTATTCTGAATGAGACCCCTGGAAAGTCAACATTATCTACTTAGACTGGCAGTGGCTCTCCAGGATCTGAGGCAGAAGTCTTACATATCACCTTCTGGCAGATCCTTTAACTGAAGAGGCCAGGGGTTGAACCTGGGATCCCTGGCATGCCAAGCAGATTCTCTACCACTGAGCCACAACCCCTCTCCATTACAACCCCCATAGAGCCTATATGTACATCTACATTGGCATGCATATTCATATTGTACAAGAATGATTATTGTTACACCATCAGATTGAATACATTTTACAGTATCAGTTCATTCACAAATACAGGATCAGGGGAGAATCTTACAATGAGTTCCATGGTGATTTTCTCTGTCTTTTATAGTGCAAAGCTGCTGCTGGAGGTTTTAGACTGAGCAGAGAACTGACAGGCCAGGAAGGGGTTATTAACCTCATAACAGTGCATGTTGTTTCTGTGTGTAAGTGGTGTAAAAATATAATAAACTTTCCTTACCTACAGTTTATCCACTAAAAGTCTCCTTTCCCAGCTTTTTTTCTTTCCTGTGGGGTAAGAGAGAGACAAGGACCTATATCTTTTACTCCTTTTTGAGAAAGTCATCTGTGGGAAATTTTAAGTAGACTAATAGATAACAAAGTATTAAACCTTTCCCTCCTATGGGTTCTCCACTCAGTCTGAAGCTTGGTTCATTTCTTCTCACTGCCTACAACTGCTATATGTAGAGGCAGCATCAGCATACCCTGAGGTGCGGCAGCTGCTAGGGCTCAAGGTTTCTGGCAGGACCCACTGCTGCCAGCACCCCTGCCCACTCACTTGCTAGCGCTCCACCACCCATGTTCCCTGCAGTATAGGGTTTCCAGGTCCCCTCACCGTCGCAGCGGCAGGGGGGTTTAGGGGTGTTCCAGGGTTGGGCAGGATGGTGTTGGGCAACATCCCAATGCGATGACATCACCTGGAAGTGACATCCTCATGTAGGCACTGTTGTGTGAGACACTGATTTTTGGCCCAAAACTCTATGGTATTTTGGCTTCAAAACCATAGAGTTTGCCCAAAATCCAGAGTGTCACATGCAACATCACTGACATGATTATGTCACTTCCAGACAACATCATCATATCAGGGACATTGCCTGACGATGTCCCTATTTGTGGGTGGGGTTTCCCCACCAGCCAGCTGGCCAGCAGCTGATCACATCCCCCAAAAGCAGGGGAACATTGGCTGGCAATGCTACTGCAGTCCCTGCTCCACACACTGCCTAGTGACACTGGGGAAAAGTCTACCAGCAGCTGGGAGTGCAAGTGGGAGTGCTTGAGAGCAGACAAGAGAAGGACACACAAACAGTTGGGAGGCAATCAGGTGGGTGGAAGGGTAGGAGGCATGATGGGGGGAGGGGGCCCTGGGAACTCTCTGCCCAAAGGGCCTTAAAACCCAGAACTCACTCTGGCTCTGTGTGTTGTTAAGCCCCCAGTAAATACAGTGACAGAACACATGAAAGTTCTACCTTTTATGACTATCATGGTTTTATACATTCCATTGCCTGAGTTGTATGGAATTCTGTTTTTCTGAAGCCATTTCTTTTGACTTTTAAACAATGCTAAGGGCCTCCATCTGAATGACAAGCTGTAGGATGATCATCACCAGCTTGTCAATATTAATTAACAGTGAATTAGGAGTACTGTCACCACCCCCTTTTATTGATCAGAGATGCCTTGATATTTTACTATGACATAACCCAGGCTGACCAATGAGACATGGACACCATTGACCTAAGGACTTAGTGACAAATTTAGTGAAATTATAATGCTGCCATTTTTAGGACCATGTCATGCTGTACCATGGTGTTTGTTTCTCAAGAAGATTGACAGCGTAAGCCATTGTTCCAATCAGGGCCGGCTCGCTCACTAGGTGAGCTAGATGCTTGCCTAGAGCGCAGGGCCATCATGGAGGCACTGGACTGCCGCCATAAGCCCCCCACCCCCACCAAAAGCTCGCGCTGCGCGCCCTGGCCAATGCCACCTCTTTGCCTGTCCCCCCACATAACTTTTTGGATGCATGCTGCTTCAGCAAGCCCCTTCGCTGCCCCTAGAGCAGCAGAAAGGCGCTCTTTAAAGTGTAACGGCCCGCAGCGCCTCCTGCACCACCGGGAAATGGCCGCAAAAAGTTCCCCTGCCTCCCCCAGGCCCCGCAATGCGCCCCTGACCTCCACGCAGCCTCCCCTTTCCCCGCTCTCCCCTGTGGAGGCGGAGGGCCGACAAGAGAGCAGCGTGGGAGGGGTTCCGGGAAGGGGAGCTGCGCTTTGGAGAGGCACCGACACCCCTCAGTTGGATATCAGCTCAGCCGCAGAGAGGAGATGATGGTCTGTCTCGGGGGGTGGGGGGCCGCCGCCATTCTCTAGCTGCTGCTACCCTGGCTAATGGAATGGGACAGGTGGGCAGGGGCAGCTTCGCGGGGAAGGAGTTCACTGGCCGGTCAGAGGGACGGAGGCGACAGGGTCGCAGCCCTCAAGCAGACAGCCCTGGCCTGTGGAAGTCTGCCTCCTTGAGGCAGCCAAAAAGAAACGCCAGCCTCTCACTGGAAAGATCGCCGGGAGAGACGAAGGGAACTCTGAACTGGGCTGGGAGCTCCAGCTGGAAGGGACATAGTGAGGAGTCTCTCTGGGGGCCATGGCTGCTGCTGCCACTGCCGGACTCCTGGGAGATGGTGCCCACCCCCTACCTCCCTGGGCAGATAGGGTGTGCCGTTGCGGAGGAGCGGAGCAGGCTCCTGCCAGCCACTTGCATGGCTGCAATCTAGATGACTGCAGTCAGGATGGGGGGCAGGGCATAGGATTTTTTTAAAAATGAACCCCAAAGAACCGGAGGGTGTGGCCCTCTGTGGAACAACAGATGGCGCTCGCTCGGGA